TCCGCCGTAAAATTACCACTATCTTCTTCACACAAGTTTAAGGGACCAGAGTTGAGGTATGAAGTTGGAGTTTTGTATAGCAAATGGGGATAGCGAAACCAAATCGTGATGGGGCGAGATTCATTTCCCGGCCCGCAGAAAACCGTTTACGCAAAATGCAGAGCACGCCATGAGACGGATAGTCGCCGCTTTAAATACATTTCTCCATAGGTCACCGCTATCGACACGAAAGTTCACCTCATTCTATATGTCTCCACGCTGTGTCTAATATTGCACAGTTTATGCTAGAGTAGAAAGTTCCTCTATTTGAAATGTTGACGACTCTTGAAGTAATCAACATGTTGTCATAGGAAGTATAGTTCGAATGCTAAATGAGCTTGGCAACTTTGCAGCGTTTACCTTTGATGGGCACTAAGGTTTAACCTTCCTGCCTATCAAGGGTAAACGGTAACTTACCGTTCTTAGAGGCTCAATTTGAGACAGGGCCCAATTTGGGACAGCGTTTTCAAAACATGCTTTCACGTCTATTCTCACATGAACTGAACAAGAGTTGTGATTGTGCCAAAACATACTATTACGTCACATACTATCTGCGCACAATCCTTAGACATGACCAACCGCAGGCAATCTCGTAAAATGCCACCCTCAATGCGGTCTCAAGCCGCAGCATTCAAGCGACATTTACAACGGCGAAAAGACGAGCAGAAACGCCGGGAGGTAGCCCTTGAGCTACTCAAGACGCATCGCAGCATTCGGGAGACATATCCTGTCTCAAACGTCTCGCGCTCAACGGTACACTACATCAAATGTGCATGTGAGGGGGGGTCATCAAGACACACTAGCATAACGTTTTGACCCCCTTCAACATTTCGCAGGGCACCAAAAGGTACTGCAAGATGCAGAGGATGAAGTCATCTGCAATAGAGCTATTGAGGCCTCTCTGAAAAGCTTTGCAATTGACATGCGCACCATGCAAAGCCTGCAAGCCAAAAGATCGAACGATGGCCTCCGTGGTTTTCGCAATCAGCTACCATCCCCGGCCATCAGATCATTCCGGGCTCGGAATAGGTCACTGACGTACCGCAACTCTGAAAAATTACGGAAGCTCGGCTCGGGGCAGAAAATGTCGCCCATGTAGGCACACTGAAAGACGTGTTTCTTCAGATCTCAGAAAACCACTCAGGTATATTTGACGACCCCAACCGAATTTGGAATTGCGACGAGACAAGTGTGCTTGCAGAATTCGGTAAAGGGATCCGTACCTTGACATCTGCAACCTCGCATCATGGAGGAAGGCATCTCGCCGTAAAAGATCATGGGAAGCACGTGACTGCTGGCATAGAAGCCTCTGCCTCTGGACTTCTTGCACCCCTTTTCTTGATTGCGTCCGGAAAAAAGTAATTTTGAAGTGGTTAGAACCTTTGCAGCAAGCCGACTTCCCACATGTGCCAAAAATCTTGCCTGGCTCACGAAACAAGACCGGTGTCATTCGTCCACAAGGATTTGTGTGACGGAAAATGGCTTCATTGATGGAGACATTATCAAATATGCAGTGCAGCACATCCAAAAATTCATTCGGGAACACATCAGTGCTGAGAAAGCAGTTGTGATTCTCTTAGAGGGACATGTGTCTCGAAAGTCTTTGGATTGGCTTGAGTATAGTGCAGAAAACAACTTGGAAATCGTTCGACTTCCAGCCAATACGAGTCATTTTTACAGCCTCGCGACCAAGCTATAAACCGTGTTTTCAACAGCAGACTCGCACTGTGCGGGATGAATAGCTCGCAAAATGTCATATCGGATACGCTAACGTCACATTAAAACTTAAAATGGCCGCCGCCGGATATAAGGCCATCCCTGAATCTGTTATGCAGGACTCCTTCATCACGACAGGATTATGGCCTATGAACTATAAGTTTCCCACCGAAATAAAGCACAGAGAGAGGTCGACAGGCGGCATCCGACACCGTCTGTGGTCACTCTCCTCGTGCTGACAATGTTTGGGTTGCAAGAGTTAGAGAAAATGAAAAGAAGAACAGCAGACCGACGCCTTTCAGATCGTGTGAGACAGACGTTTGAGAAAACGTGCTCACACTCGAACGCTCTTACCAAAATTTCTGTTCTCATTAATTCGAAGTACTTCACATATCGTATTCTATAGGAGCATAACAGTGCACAAAGGTCTCAAACGCGCTCCAATTGCCCAAACTGAGCAGTCTCAGCTGGAAAAGAAGCCAAGCACATGACAGTCGAAAATTTGCTCGACGTTATCAAGCAGAAAACGGCCGAATGTTCGCGTAGAGGTAAAAAGAGGCATCTGAGCGTACCGAAGAGGAATCTGGGAGGCCCTCTAACCATCGAATAAGAGAACAGCGTGCTTGTCTTACGGTAGTCGTCCGGAATCATGCCGGAGGACTGATTTGCGTCTGTTTCGGAAGGTTTGCCCATACGGCAGTGGTACAGCTGCTTAAACGCACAAAAACTGCGCAATCCTACAGTCGAGGGATCTGTCTCGCGTGAAGAGCCGCGTCGGCCCTTGTGCGACACTCTCTTCCGAGATAATCTCGAGAGTCTTGCAACGGGGGTGTCCAAAATTGAGCTTTTTGGACAAAGGCCACTTCTGAAGGCATCATAAAGTTGGCAAAAAACCGTCGATTAAATGTTTGAAATTTTGTGTTTTTGAGAGTGCACAAAGTGTCACAAACCAAGCCCTTGAGAACGGTACACGCTGTGCGAATCGATACAGTGGTCTTTGGATATCTTCGAAGAATGGAGCACTATGCTCGCTATGAAACTTTACAATATTTAGAGATATTTTCGCTTTTCACGATAAATGTACCGATCACGCAAATCGCTTTTTAGGGATATGGAATTTCCCGCACACTTCAGTGGTGGTGTCCGCGTATGTGGGGGGGGGGGTAAGAGCCCCCTATTCATTTGAGTAAATCCAAAAGGCAAATGAGTAAATTTTTTGGGTTTCGGAGATAGCTTTTCAGTGCGCACCCCTAACGGAAATTTGGGATTTGTATGATAATGTGAAACGTAGTAGAACATAATTGGCCTGCATGGAATAACGACAATTATGGGGGTGCCCCTACATGCTTTTACTCGCAACCCCTCGGAAGGAAGCGCACTGTGCCGTACCGGTTCTACACCATGGATCTAAGCGAGAGTTCATCATCATCCTCTTCAGATTTCATCTATTCCATTGAGGGCCTGTTTGAGGATGACATCGACACACTCGCGCAAGTATCTCTTGCAGCTGTTCAAGCGATCAAGAAGAAACGCAAATCGTCGCGGGGAAGAGCTGTCGGATCACAAAAGATCCATTGCGGTACTTGCTCATGGTTCGCAGATTACTTGTGCGTGAACCCCACTTACTCTGCCGCGAGGTTGCGTCAGGTGTTCCATATACCGCTTAAGCTGTACTGGCGTCTACATGATGCTTTAATTGCCGAAGATCCAGAGTTGGGCCAGAGGAGCGATGCGCGTGGTGCCATGGGGCACACCAGCCATCAAAAAATATTGTCCAGTTTGCGTCGCTTCGGGAACGGGCCATCGTTTTTACAGCTAGACGGCATGTCTCGGAGGAGTTCCGAGAGTCAGCGGTACTACTTTCAGAAGACCTTGCGCGTAGTCGTCAACTGTTTCGGACCCGTATTTCTCAATCGGGAGCCTACATTAGGAGAGTTGAGATCAAGTGTGACGACGTTCGAGGAGGCGGGGTTTCTTGGTTGTATGGGGGCTATAAATTGCATGCACATTCATTGGAAAAATTGTCCGAAAGCGTTGAAAGGGCAATACCATAATCCGAAAGACGGTAACCTTGCGACTATAAGCTGTGAGGCGTTGGTAGACAGGCGGCTGTATTGCTGGCATAGGTTTCCAGGACGCTGTGGGACAAACAATGATATTACATTTTTGGACAACAGTCCGTTTGTTAACGACATTTTATCTGGCCGCCGGCGATTGTACTTGCCAGAAGGCTATGCTATTAACGGCACGCGGTAGCATGGTCTGCTGTACATGTCGGCCGACGGCATTTACGCCCCCTGGCCAATTTTTGTTTTACCAAACCATGCGCCCCTCAATGACCGTGAGAGTCATATGACAGGGAGGCAAGAAGCTATACGCAAAGACATAGAGCGGGTTTTCGGATGACTGCAAGGAAGGTTTATGATATTGCGACAGGAAAGGCATGAGTGGAGTGACAGCCAGCTCATTATTATTGGTCAGGCGTGTGTTATATTAAATAACATGATAGTCAAAATGGCTGTAAGTGGCGAGCTCTCCGATGAGTTGGATGAAACGGGCGTGGCACAAAGCGATAGGGCATTGTTAGAAGAATTCTTTGACTGTGAGGCGGAACTCGCAAATGATACGGTGGACACTGAGCAGGGGTCTACAAGCTTCATTGGCGGATTGGCTTATCTGATAGAGCGGAATATGTTAGTGACTGATAGGGAGGGTCACATACAGCTAACAGAATCTCTATCTCATCACCTCTGGAACATGAGGGGAAGCACATCCGAACAGTAAGAAAAGCACTGCCATGATACGTCAGGGTGTCGGTCCGATCAAAATGGGCGCTTCGCGGGGGGCGCCATGTACGCCGACTTCGCGCGGACATGGGGTGGGGGGACGGAAGGCTGGCTGGGGCTTGTGTCGTCGTGGACAGGGAGGAGATTGGGGAGTGGGAAAAGTCGTTGCCGGACGTCTGTGCGGGCGGGCGAGGGGATTGAGGGGCGGGGGACTGTCCTCGGGTATGTGTCGGAGCGTGATTGGATAGACATTAGAGATGTTGTAGGTACGTGTTCGGCGCTGGCCCCATTGGAAATTAAAAAAAATTGAAACTACAGTAGAAACCCTCCGTCCGGAACTGTCCCACCTCTGCTGTCTCACTACCAAATCAAAATCCCGTCCAACTGCCGACCCTCCCCGGCCGCTCACCGCCGCAGGTACAGGTTGTCCACGCCGCCTCCCTGCCCGAGCTCGGCCATCTAATTGCCGAGCGCGTCGCGGAAGCGCATCCACAGCCCCTGCGGCGTCTTAGGCCGGAGGATGGCGGCCACAAGGTCCAAGTCCTGCCGCTTTTCGCGGATGTACGCCTGGGCCTCGCCGGCGAACGACGCCAGCGCGTCCGGATGCGTCTCGTCGATCTGCGTGGAGTCCGTCGTCGGGTGGAACCGGAAGTACTTGTTGCGCGGGAACAGGTCCTGCATCGCGTGGTGCATGACCTCGGTCGACGTCGCCGCCGCCACAATCGACCCCACCACGTCGCCCCACCCGAGCTTGCGATGCGAGTCGTTGGCGGCGGGGGATGCGGGCGGCCGGAGCTGCATCCAGCGGGAGGTGTGGGCGGTGGGGGGCGCAGGCGGCGGGGGGTGTTAGCGCGGAAGGGTACAGGCGGTGGGGATGTTGGCGCCGGAGGGTGTGGGCGGCAGGAGCTGCTGTCTGTGCGAGGTATAGGCGGCGGGAGGAGCCGGAGGCGGGTGGTGCGGGCGGCAGGAGGTGTTGGTAGCGGAGGGTGCGGCCGGCGGGGAGGTGTTGGTGGCGGAGAATGCGGCTGGCGAGGAGGTGATGGTGGCGGAGAGTGCCAGCGGAAAGTGCCGGCGGCGGGAGGTTCTGACGGCGGGGCGTGCGGGCAGCGGGAGGTGCAGGCGGTGGAAGTCAGTGCGATCGGGGGAAGTGGGTGCGGTGGTAGAGAGATGATGTGCGAGAGGACGGGGGGAGCAGGGGAGGCGAGGAAGGCGTGTGCATATGGAGCGGAAGCGAGGTGAAGGGCGTGGGGCATCGAATTACAGGTCCATTCATCCTTTATTTATCTCTCACACATCTTCTGCACGTGGCGAGGGACCGCCGCTCGAGAACTTACCCTCGCTCTGTTCACCACAGTCATCAAGAGACGATACAATACGCAAGAGCTTTTGGAGCTCACGAGCTTTGTCCTCCTGATTTAACGGCAACGATGTGATGATGTTATACTTCATAGCCAAAGAAGAGGCCTTCAGCTGGGCAGCTGTACTTGCCTCAATCGCAAGGCTGACGCGGTCAATAGACTTCGACATTTTGTCCGTGCCAGCCTCAGCAGCGTCGTCCACTCTCTACCGTTTCACGCCTTTCGGCCGCAACCGAGAGGGAGCGTTTATGTCAATTATACCTCCAACACTTGGCTCGCGATCGCTTCCATCTGGATTTATATCTACTGGTACCCTTGTGCAGTGTGTTTTGTTGCCGGAAGCACCCTAGCTTCAAGTGCTATTGACCCGATAGCCGGCAGCCGACGAGGCCGACCCACCGCCAATAGCAGTAGAAAATTTAGGATGCGTCGAAAGAAGAGCAACGGCTTCAAGGAACCTGACTGGTGCAGCAAGCTTTTGACGGCCTTCTTTGCCCCGAGTCGCGCGACGCGTGCGGTAAAGCTTCATTATGTTCTCTTTTGTATCTTCTTCAGTTTCGCCGGAAGGTATGTTTGCGCGGTAAAGCTTCTCCGAAGCCAAATACTTTTGGGCTACCTTTTGAATCGTGGTCCATCTGCACTTTAGGCTTGAAGCTGAACGTCCAGTGATTGTCTCGGGTTGGTTTCGGTATGCCTAAGCAATACTTCCCCAGAACGTGTCAGAGTTTTGCTCTACAGTCTTTTGCGAAACCGATATCCAGCATTTGGAAATTTCCAGGTCTTCAGCCGCCGTAAAGTTGCTTCCTTCTTCTTTGGTTGAATCGAGAGACATTGGAAGGGAACCAGCCAGTGACTGATGTTGTAGTATCCCCTTGTCTGTGCGGGCTTGGGCCCTTATTAGGACCTAACAAAATCTAGAATTTTGATAAACTTATTGCCGTTTCTGCCAGATGACGAAATGTTGAGACTTCAACCCTCACTTCAGTGTACTTGTAGCAGGAAATATGACGCACAACCATGCTCAATCGATTCAGCGACCTCATAAATGGTTACCAAGAGTCTTTTTAGCTCGGAGTCCTAACTACTGCTCTAACGCGTGCTGTTTCCGACCCGAAGTTGAAGACGTTCTGTTCTGAAAGTGCGACAAATCGGAGTTTGCCCCAAAATTTGGCCAGCAAAAATTGAATATTTTCGTATCATACTCGAGCCAGGCTGCAACCTCAAGTCTCTGTGACGGGTTTACAGAGTTGTTGACACGCGTCCTGTCACTTCTATAACCGGAATCTGCACGATACATGACCAATGAGACCGTCTAACCAGCCAGAAAAATGGTATCAAAAATTTATGTCTTAAATCGAAATAGTGCCCAAGTTACGTCGAAAAGTTGTGCGCTGATCCCTATATAGGGCCTAGCACAGACGTGGGGATACGTGTGTAGGGGCGAGAGGCATGGGACGGAGTGGCCATTTTACTGTCATTGTGGTCTGTTCAAGACATCTCTCGAACTGGCGGGAACGGGCCAAAAAAGTGCTGGAAATGGCAGGAATGCAATTATTTCTGAATGTGTCTGCCAAGTGTCACAGTTCTATTTGCATCTCTATATGAGTAAATGAGTAAATCTGTCGCCAAATCACTCGATGTTTGGCTACAGATTTACTCAAAATGCCAAATTTTTGGAGATAGCCACCCCCCATAGAGTTGCCATGTTGCAAAACTATCTCCAAAAACCTAAAAATTTACTCACTTACTCAGTCAATGGGGGTGCTCTAAGAGAGGTGCCGGTATGGGTATTGAGATTGGGGGTATTTATGCAAACTTTACACGTTTTGCAATTCTTTCACATGAGCATACAGTACTCCCATCGCTAACCGTTGACACGCTTCTATTCCGTACCCTTCCTGAAAGGTGCAATTTGGTAATCGGGGGCAATTTGGTAATTTTTATTATTCCCCTACAAGTTTACCTCAAACGCACGTACAAGTTGCTGACAATAGTCGTACAACCCGGTCCGTCTTCCCTCGTTGCTGCGGACGGGAAAAGTCCGCCAAAATTCAAACGTTTGCACTCCCATAGTGCCTTTACGCTCGCCCATCTGCTTCCTGCAGCTCTGACATCATGACTGTGACCTCGGGTTTCAGGGAACCATGGGTCTGTCCATGCGCATGCAGACCGCGATTGAGAAAAAAGACAAGAACGCGACGCCGTAATGAAAGAACAAAGAACAAAGGCCACTTCCCTCCTCCGTGACGGCAAAAAGAGGTCTGCCGTTGTGAAAATTACAAAAGTACCCTGAGCGACAATTGATCGCATTATCGTGCCTTGAAGGCCGATGATGACCTTACACTCGATGCCCTTTTGTCCCCAGAAGCTAACCGCAGAGGTCGACGTTTAGTTATCAGCCAACAAGAGTCCGTGTTGATAAAAAAGAGGATCAACTTGCTGCCGAGAAGGGATTCGCACTCTCCAACGGCGATGTCAGAAAAATAATGACCGACATAGCATCCGATGGGCGTGCCGGATTCCAGACGGAGTCGGGTAGTCCGTCTCAGGACACGATAAGGCACTGTCGGGCGATCAACAGAGACGTAACATACTGAAAAGCCGAGAACAAAGACATAGCAAAGTTGAAGGCCGAAATTTTCGGACATGTATCAACTTTTTCAGATGCATTGAAAAAGGTCGAGCATGCCAATCCCGATATTTTTCGGGACCCCGCCCGGCTTTGGAACGTCGACGAGACGGCAGTCGACTGCCAATACGGTGAACGGAAGAAGGTTTTCGGGTCCTCTGCGACTCACCATGGCGGATACATGGCTGGTCAGGCCCGAAAAACCAACAAACAAATCACACTCGTAGTGGCAGTTTCCGCTTCTGGGCGAAAAGTTCCCCCGCTTTTCATTGTGGAAGGAAAAAAGTGATGAGTGGGTGGATCTCTCCACTTAAACCTGCGAAAATATAATATGCCCTTTACCAACTACAAGTCGATTGTCAGCCGAACATTGGTATCATGAGGGAACAGTAATCATGACAGCGGATAAAAGAAGTATGGAAAAACGTCTTATATCTCATGTCGTCGAGCACATAGATCGATGTGTGAGAAAGGAAGTCCCTGCCGAGCTGCCGTACTGTATGACTCTGGATGGCCACTCTTCCCGTGAGGGGCATGAATGGCTTGCACTTTGCAAGCAAAAAAATGCGAAGTCGTACAATCGCCGTCAAATACGACTCATTTCCTTCAACCGTGCGATCAGGACGTTAACAGTGCCTTTAAAAAACGCATGCGGAGGCACAGAGACATCTTGCAGAAGGAAACCACACTAGGCATGCGGTCCGTGCGTTCCAATCTGATGGTTGCTGCATTGGCTTACATTGATATTACCGTGGATAAGATAAGGTCAAGCTTCGAAAAAACCGGTTTATGGTCCATGAACTACTCTTTTCTTGACAGGTTCTTGAAAAAAGGACCGACTGGGGCTGTCAACAACCCTGAACTCATCAAAGAATCATCTAAGAATGTGGCAAGCAGAACCCGAAACAGTGACAGTAGGATTTTTCGAAGTCTCCGCAACACTTTAGCCGCAGCGACTGACCCGACCACGGGACTAAGAGATGTTGAAATTCTTTTGAGTAAGAACAGAAGCGTCAATAACATTCTAATGTCAAGCACTGGGTTTAGGAGCGGTGGTTCTCGGCAAGTGGTTCGGCAAAAAAGTGTGGAGCTCCAAAAAGGGACACCAGCGACATACTTGACCTTGGACGATGTTATCCAAATCAGAAAGGCGAAGGATGCAGCTGGTGCTGCTGCGAAGGTGCGGAAGGCCGAGGAAAAGGCAGATCGTGATCGCAAGCGCGAGCAGCGACGAGTGGCGAAAGCAGCTGGTGGCAGTAAGATGGGAGAGAAAGCCGTGGATCCAAGGTTTCCATCGTTGCGACCCCTTGAGCATGCTGTTGTTGCATCTACTGCAAATTGTGAAGTGGCGATGACCTCTACACCTTCTGAGCAGGCTGTGAGGAAGGACCCAAGCAGTGAAAATGATGTTGCCGATTCTCTGTTGTCGCTTTCGCGTACGTAAGTAAAATTACCAAATTGCCCCTTTTCTTGATTTGGGAGCTATTTTCGCGTTTGTGGAAAGGTCATATTGCTTCGGAAAGCTATATTTTGCCATCGTTATCCGGGTGTAGGAAGTAGGGGGACACTTCTCTGCCTGCACCAGATGCTGTATGGCTGTTCAGGACAGTGCCATACAATATTTGTGGGGCACTTTCAAAAGAATTACCAAATTGCCCCCTTCGGGAAGGGTAAAGGGGGGGTACCCTAATGTTTGGAACGGGAATCAAAAAGTAAATGAAAAATCTACTTCTCGGTGGGGTTGGGGGGTGATTTTCACAGTGCTGTCAGCCTCATGGAATGCACAATTCTATTCCCAATGACGAACAAAAAGA